AAAAAAAAAAAAAAAAAAAAGAGTGTAGGTTCTGGGGTCAGATCTCCTGGTTAGAATTCCAGCTTATCATACCCTCTGTGTGGCTTTGGGTGACTTTCTTGAATTCTCTATGCTTCACTGTTCCCATCTGTTAAAAGGGAGAGGAATTATCATACCTACATTATATGCTTTTGAGGGCCTTAGATGAGATTATCATGTGCTGTGTCTGTCAGAATGCCTGGAGTGTGACAAGTGCTCAATAACTTGTCATTAAATTATCATCAACGTCAACTGACATCACTTACAAAGGTCAAGGAACTGTCATTACAGCACCTTGTTCAAAAGCTGCTGTGACTGCACAACACTGTTTACTTCTGAAAAGTTATCTAGAGTTCCTTAGCTGAGGACGGCTTGACAAAGCGCAGTCCTCCATACGAGATCAGGGATCTTTGCTAGGTGCTCTCCTGCCTCTCTATCAATGCGTACGTGCATCTGCTGCCGGATCATAGACGTTAACCCAACGATCACTTAAATTATTTTTGTTTAACTGCTTTAATCTTAAAAGAGTCTTATCAAGGGGCGCCTGGATGGCTCAGTCGGTTAGGCGTCTGACTTCAGCTCAGGTCATGATCTCACAGTTCGTGAGTTTGGGCCCCACATCGGGCTTTGCGCTGATGGTGCGGAGCCTGCTTGGGATTCTCTCTCCCTCTCTCTCTCTGCCCCTCCCCAACTCGTGCATGTGCTCTCTCTCTAAGTGAATAAAAAAAAGTTGTATCAAAATATGTCATTAATAGAAAGTTTGAATTTTACCTTAAAACTAAATATATTCTGGAAATTGTGGGACAGGAAAATGATCACTCTTTTTGAAAGTAGAAAATTCTTGAGGCACCTGGGTGGTTCAGTTGGTTGAGCATCTGACTCTCGGTTTCGGCTCAGGTCATGATCTCACAGTTCATGAGATAGAGCCCCGTGTCTGGCTTGTGCTAACAGCCAGAGCCTGCTTGGGATTCTCTCTCTCTCCCTCTCTCTCTCTCTCTGCCCCACCTCCCCGCCATGTTCTCTTTCTCTCTCTCTCAAAAATAAATTAAAAAACTTAAAAACAGTGGGAAATTCTCAAAGTAGTATACCCTAACAGAAACATTAAAAAGTATGCTAAGTTTATCTTAACAAGAGTGTGGACACAATATGTAGATTTTAACATTGTGTTAGCATTTCAAATTCATAATAAAATAGACTCTAGAGAGTCTAGCTGGACACAGCACACTGCTGCCTTCCAAACATCCGAAATGAGGTGTTTGAATGCTCTATTCCTTATAATGATTCTTGTTTTTGTTTTTATCTTCTTTAGAAATTTCTAAAAAGTGTTTATGTTTTATCTGGTGTTTATTTAGGAACCAAAGCTGAAAGATGAAGGTCCATGAGCCCTTGGACAATCAGTCTGTGTCAGTGAAAGCTCCCCATAGGAGAGGAACACCAAGCAGACGTTTCTGGGAAGAGGTTACCTTCTGTTTATAGCTGACTTAGAAACGTGACTCAAATGATTAAAAAACCTGCCAATTAAATCCCATGTAATTTCTAGGTTGTTTGTCATGGAAATAAACTGGAAAGTGAGGAGATAGTTTTATTTAAGAAGCTGCTTTCGTTTTCTCCCATTTAATGTGATGCTTCTGGCTCATGATTCACTTGGATGAAAGGTCCCCTTGACTTCGCAGCCAGGCGCACCTTCCAAGTCCCTTCATGTAATGTCCCGATAGCATCTCGGCAGCTTTGATGATATTTTTGCCTTCTCAATCCATTTGGTAAAAAACCATGTGAAAACCTTACTTACTTCAGGTAATACTCACATTTGGAAAGCAGGCTAAATAAATGGAGTATTTTGCACTGGGGTAGATCAACTAGATTCTCTTAGAAATGCAGTATCTACTTGCTAAGCCTGTGGCTTTAATAGTTTTGTGTGTGTGTGTGTGTGTGTGTGTGTGTGTTTCCCTCAAGCCAAGGAGAAAACAATTCTACTTCTCTATGTTGATAAAATAGATTCTGTGATAGTTTTTTGTTAAGATTATTTTGAGAGAGAGAGAGAGAGAGAGAGAGAGAGAGAGAGAACACTAGTGGGGAAAGAGCAGAGATGAAGAGAGAGAGGCCCAAGCAGGCTCCACGCTGTCAGCACAGAGCGTAATGCAGGGCTCGATCCCACAAAGCCTCAAGATCATGACCTGAGCTGAAATCAAGAGTCAGATGCTTAAGCTACTGAGCCACCCAAGTGCCCCACAATTCAGTGGTTTTTAATACATTCACAGAATTGTTCATTCACCACCACTGTTTAATTTTAGAATATTTTAATAATTCCATAAAATAACTCCACACCCAGCCGCAGAAACTATTTTTCCCTCCAGCAGGCTTCAGCGACTCATACTAACTGCACTAAGTTATTTTCTGCACCTGTGGATTTGCCTATTCTGGACATTTCTTATAGATGAATTCATATGATATGTGGCCTTTTGTGACTGGCTCCTTATACTCAGCATCATGTTTTCTGTCTTTCTTTTAAAAAAAAAAAATTAATGTTTACGTGTGGGAGAGAGACAGAGAGAGAGAGAGAGAGAGAGAGAGAGAGAGAGAGAGCAAGCAAGAAGCAGAGAGAGGGAGCCACAGAATCTGAAGCAGGCTCCAGGCCCTGAGCTGGCAGCACAGAGTCTGACCTGGGGCTCGAACTCACGAACTGCGGGATCATGACCTGAGCCCAAGTCAGAGCTTAACCAACTGAGACACCCAGGCGCCCAGCATCAGGTTTTCAAGATTCATCTATGTTGTAGCTTGTATCAAAACTCCATTCTTTCTTATTGCTAAATAATATTCCATTACATAGATATACCACATTTTATTTATCCATTCTTCAGTTGATGGACTTTTTAGCTATTATGAAAAATGCTGATATGAACATTGTATGCAAGTTTTGGCATGGACATATTTTCAATTTTCTTGGGTATATATCTAGAAGTGGTATCACTGCTTTTTCTTTTTTAACTTTCATTTAATTAGGTCTTTTTTTTTTTTGAATGGGAATTTTATTTTTTTAACTTCTTTTTTTAATCTTTATTTATTTTTGAGAAAGAGGGAGAGACAGAGTGCAAGTGGGGGAGGAGCAGAGAGAGCGGGAGACACAGAATCCTTAGCAGGCCCCAGGCTTCAAGCTGTCTGTACAGAGCCCAATTTAGGGTTCAGACTCACGAACTGTGAGATCATGACCTGAGCCGAAGTCAGAGGCTTAACCGACTGACCCACCCAGGTGCCCCTCATTTAATTAACTTTGAAATGTAATGTCTTCATTTTTATTCACATTTTTAGTTCCTTTATTAATCACCTATTTATTTACATAATTTATTTACAAATTATGATTTCCACATGTAATTGTCATGTATGTAATCTAATTTTTCACAATTACTTTTCATTTAAACTCTACCAAAATTATATAGAAAAATCTACAATTTATTGTAGAAAAATCTACAATTTATTATGAGATAGTGGTACCAATCTCCACTCCTTCTCACCAGAGATGACCACTTTTTATGCTTTCAACTTTCCCTTTCATATTTAATTCCATATTTCCAAACAAAATGCCTATACTCTCATTCTTGACAGTTCATTTTAATATGTGGTGTGTTAAACTCCTCTGTGACATTCCTCATAGCACTCATCACCCTTCTCCCCACATTTCCCTTCCTTTCAGCCTCCTAAAATACTCATCAATGTATTGTAATTTTTTTAAAAGTTTATTTGAGAGTAGGGAGGGGCAGAGGAGGGAGACAGAGAATCCCAAGCAGGCTCTGCACTGTCAGCACAGAGTCCAACATGGGGCTCGAACTCACGAACTGTAAAATCATGACCTGAGCTAAAATCAAGAGTCGGACGCTTAACTGACTGAGCCACCCAGGTGCCCTCAATATATTTTATTTTTTGTTATGTTAATATTTACTGTGTGTATTATTATGGCTATATAAATATATATTTTTGCTGTTGTCATTTAGTATACTATGAATATAGTTTCTTTCTTGTTCAACTTTTTATTTTGGTAGTTATTAAAAATTACGAATTTGTTTAGATTTTAATGTACTTTATTGCTAGTTCTTACTCTGCCAGAGTGCTAAGAAATAGCACTCAAACACAGTAGGTTTTCTGTCATTTTCATCTTTTTTGTGGCCATCCCTTCTGCACTGGTCTGACCAGTTGCTTCCTAGGCCTGGTGCATAGCTGGAATCTTCCTTTACCATCGTCCTGGGGATTTTTTTTTTAGCTTTTTCCTGTGTTGGCACTGGGTCCTCTAAGGGCCAGATGCCAAGATAGGGTTCAATGAATGAAAATTCTATTGGGAAATTCTTGTGAGCAAAAAACGGAGAGGGAACTGGGAGAGAGTGGCTGAGCGACCCATCAGAGCACGAGGCAAGAGTGACCCTGAGGGTAGGATGGTGGGGTGGAGGTGTCTAAGACCTTGTGGGCTCTAAGGCAAGTTAAGCGTGTCTTCCTGTGGCCCATCGGTAGAGTCGCGCGTATCCCAGGAATCGGCTTGCCTTAGGAACACAGTCATTTGCTGGGACCAGCGCATAGGAAGTGTGGGCTGTGCTGGAGGATGGAGCACAGCTCGAAGGGCCTGTGGTCAGTCACGCTCCTATAGCTGTAGGCGCACACTCGTGGCACCACAGCTGCCTTGTTCCTTAGATTTCGTATCTTTGTTTTCTCAGTTTACTCCTTTCCTTTGGAAGATCACGTCTCCTGGTTAATCTTCAGACCACTATGTCCTATACTCCTTCAATATTTGGTTATTCCCCTTTCGGGGTGCATTCACTGACATGGCACTGAGGCACTGAGGGAATCTTTACAGCATGTATTTGTCGAGCATGCTGTTGGCTCTTTCTTCCCGGGGACCCGGTCGTCTCATCATTCAGTGGGTTCCGGATCTGAAGAGTGGCTCAGGTCTGGGAACTGAGCCAGGCATCGTGACCTTTTATTGGGACCCCTGTCTGCAGCCTCCCGCTCTACCGTTCCTACCCTCGGATTGTAGATGCTCAGTAGTACTCCGAAGGGTGCCTGGCTGCTTTGTCCCCAGGAACACCAGAGTTTTTTAATCATCCTGCTGCCGGTCAGGCTCTCCTGGCCGCATCTTTAACCTTTCTGGTTGTCATGGTGACCGTGGTCCTTGGCTTCCGGCAGCCAAGTGCTGCTGCCTGGTCCCTCTCACTCTGAGGGCTCATCATCGTGTGCGTCTCCCATGAAGCAGGACCAGCGCTGAAGTTCTCGGTGACCCCACTCCTCTGCATTAAGAGCTGGCATTTGCCCCGTGTGAGAAGACCTGACCGGGCCCCTCCGCCGTGAGGCCCTAGGCAACCCCAGTGCTGCTTCCGTGTCCTCTCCCACTGGGCAGGCGGAGGACTGTGGTCAAACCGCAGCTCAATGCAGCCAGGGCAGTGCTGGTCCTGAAAGATGGGGAGGAACCACCTGTATGGTCACAGCGGCCCTGGGGCACTGAGGTGAGTGGCGGCTCCCTTCTGCAGCCCAGGGCTGATGGCGGGAGGCTGGGCACTGAGCGGGGAATCTGTTGAACCCTAGTTCTTGAGGACGTCTACGCAGGTGTCCCTGTGCCATGTGTCTGAGCTCTGACCACTCCTACCCGAGCATCTAATTGTCTCTGCAGCTCCTCTGTGTGATAAGCTCTGTGACTGTCCCTCGGCTGTGTTGTCTCTTCCATTGCAGGGAGATGAGGGTCTCTTTATAACCACCACAGGCATATACTGGCTCTTGGTTCGCTTTTGCTACTCGTCAACTTCCCTCAGTTTCCCATTATTCTTTGCAAGGGCAATTCACTTCACAGTGACCAGCCATGACCTTGCAGGCATGGACGCTCCTGTTTTTGAAAGATCTGAATGACTGGATTGGCCTGTTCTTCTTTTTCCTTAGAAAAGGCTTGCATATCTTCTTTTTTTTTAAGTTTTATTTCTTTATTTATTAAACAATTTTTTTAAAGTTTATTTGTTTTTGAGAGAGACAGAGACAGAATGCGAGTGGGTCAGGGGCAGAGAGAGAGGGACACACAGAATCCGAAGCAGGCTCCAGACTGCAAGCCATCAGCACGGAGCCCAATGTGGGGCTTGAACCCACGAGCAGTGAGATCATGACCTGAGGCAAAGTCAGATACTTAACCAACTGAGCCACCCAGGTGCCCCCACATTTTTTTTTTCTTTCTTTTCTCTTTTTAAGGAGGCTTTCACACCTAGCTCGGAGCCCAAGGCAGGGCTTGAACTCACAACCCTGAGATTAATGCCTGAGCTGAGATCAAGAGTTGGACACTTGACCTACAGAACTGCTCAGGCTCACCTTGCACAGGTTCTAAGAGTCATCTTTGGTGGTTAAAATTTTTGTCATTGGTGTAAACGGTATCTTTCCTTTAAAAAAATTACATTTTACATTTCTTGCTGGCGAATGTCATGCCTTTCAGAATTGTCCCATCTCGAGATTGGGAGAACAAACATTGTTAAAATATCTATCCTCCCCAAAGCAATCTATACATTTAATGCAATCCCTATCAAAATAACACCAGCATTTTCCACAGGGATAGAACAAATAATCCTAAAATTCATATGAACCACAAAAGATCAGGAATAGCCAAAACAATCCTGAAAAAGAAAAACGAAACTGGAGGTGTTACAATTCCGGATTTCAAGCTATATTATGAAGCCCTAGTCATCAAGACAATATGGTACTGGCACAAAAACAGACACGCAGATCAATGGAACAGAATAGAAAACCCAGAAATGGATCCACAACTATATAGTCAACTCATCTTTGACAAGGTAGGAAAGAATATCCATTGAAAAAGAGACAATCTCGGGGCGCCTGGGTGGTGCAGTCGGTTAAGCGTCCGACTTCAGCCAGGTCACGATCTCGCGGTCCGTGAGTTCGAGCCCCGCGTCGGGCTCTGGGCTGATGGCTCAGAGCCTGGAGCCTGTTTCCGATTCTGTGTCTCCCTCTCTCTGCCCCTCGCCCGTTCATGCTCTGTCTCTCTCTGTCCCAAAAATAAATAAACGTTGAAAAAAAAATTAAAAAAAAAAAAAAAGAAAAAGAGACAATCTCTTCAGCAAATGGTGCTGGGAAAACTGGACAGCGATGTGCAGAATGAAACTGAACCATGTTCTTACACCAACACAAAAATAAACTCAACATGGATGAAAGACCTAAATGTGAGACAGGAAACCATAAAACTCCTAGAGGAGAACACAGGTAGCAACCTCTTTGACCTCGGCCACAGCAACTTCTTACTAGACAGATCGCCTAAGGCAAGGGAAACAAAAGCAAACATAAACTGTTGCGACTTCCTCAAGATGAAAAGCTTCCGGACACAGAAGGAAACAATCAACAAAACTAAAAAGCAACCTATGGAATGGGAGAAGATATTTGGAAACGACAAATATGATAAAGGGTTAGTATCCAAAATCTATAAAGAACTTATTAAATTCAACACCCGAAAAAACAAATAATCCAGTGAAGAAATGGGCCAAAGACATGAATAGACACTTCTCCAAAGAAGACATCCAGATGTCTAACAGACACATGAAAAGATGCTCAATCACAGACACATGAAAAGATCACTCATCATCAGGCAAATACTAACCAAAACCACAATGAGATACCACCTCACACCTGCCAGAATGGCTCACATTAACAACTCAGGCAACAACAGGTGTTGGCGATGATGTGGAGAAAGGGGAGCCCTCTTGCGCTGTTGGTGGGAATGCAAACTGGTGCAGTCACTCTGGAAAACAGTATGGAGGTTCCTCAAAAAATTAAAAATAGAACTACCCTACGACCCAGCAATTGCACTACTGGGTATTTACCCAAAGGACCCAAAAATGCTGATTTGAAGGGGCACATGTACCCCAATGTTTATAGCAGCACTATCAACAATAGCTGAAGTATGGAAAGAGCCCAAATGTCCATCAACTGATGAATGGATACAGAAGATGTGGTGTATATATAAAATGGGATATTACTCGGCGATCAAAAAGAATGAAATCTTGCCATTTGCAGCAATGTGGTTGAAACTGGAGTGTATTATGCTAAGCAAAATAAGTCTGAGAAAGACAAATATACGATTTCACTCATACGTGGAATTTAAGAAACACAACAGATGAACATAGGAGAAGGGAAGGAAAAACCAGATGAAAACAGAGAGAGAGACACAAACCATAAGAGACTCTTAAATAAAGAGAACAAACTGACGGTTGCTAGAGGGAGGTGAGTGGGGGGATGGGCTAGACCGGCGACGGGCATGAAGGAGGGGCACCCGTTGGGATGAGCACTGGGTGTTGTATGGAAGCGATGAATCACTGAATTCTACTCCTGAAACCAATACTACGCTGTATGTTCGCTAACTAGAATTTAAATAAAAACAAAAACAAAAACAAGAATAAAAACAAAAAAGGATTGTCCTATCTTGAAGCATAGGGGCCCGGAAGGGCTGAGGCTGCCCTCAGGGACCGAGCGTGACCCGCGGGGGTGTCTCTGGGCCCGAAAGCATTGACACCAGCTGGCCCAAGATGCCTCGGCCGAAGGGGTCTTGTCAGAGCGTCACAGTGACCACCAACTGCCCTTTCGCAGGTTAAACAAAGTTCTCCTTTCGTTTCTTACATGTTTCGGCTTTGGTCAGAGAAGGGGCCGCCCAGCTGTATGGTAGGGGATGCCGGATGTGGGGTCTAACTGCTTCTTAAACAGACTTTTAACTAATCCTGTCTCAACCTCATTTTACTCCCCCTCCAGTTCCAGAGTTACCTGTTGTCCTCTAGACCGGCTTCCCGGTGCTTGTGCAGGCCGAGCGGCTGTTAGGGCCTCCCGCCGGCCCAGCGTCTAGCCTCCTGGGCCACTGGATCCGTTAGCAATTGACCACCCCTGCCCGGCCTTCAGAGGGTCGCTGCTGTCCCCCTCGGGGTGTCTGGCTCGTCACCCTCTCCTGGGTCCCGTCCTGTAAGTCGGGCTCAGGAAGGAGCAGGGGTGAGAGTGTGCTCCGTGGCTCTCCTCGCCTGGAACCCCCTCCGAGGTCTGACTCGGGGCTTTATGGGTGTGTGCTGACACTCGCCGTTTCTGATGCCTGAGCTCACCCCTCCTTCCTTCTCCCGCCTGGCTGGTCTAACGCTCCTTCAGGCCCCTCTTCCAGAGCCACAGCTGAGGGGAGTTAGAACCTGGGTCACTCCTGGGGGAACATTTGTCACACTTTGCTGCAATT